ATGTTAGACACACATGGCATCGATAGCAGTCAAAAGATTGAATCATAGTGATACCGATCTGACGGTTGTGCGTGGACGTATTCGGACGTGGTGTCAGGCGTGAAAGACTTAGCATTAGGCGCGAAAAATCATGTATAATATGCATATATCCCTCTGTTTCAAAATCAGAAACGCATCCAGCGCAGACCACACACCACAAGTGACGACGGCCTCAACAAAATGTAAATGTTTTCTGACAGTGGAATGATTAGCCGGTTGCAGTTGTATTCTATCTCTTCTACCACTTGTCACTAATTTGAAATAACTCTCTTGATCGCTTTCAGATTTACTTGAGATAATTTATAAATTTAATTGGACGCAGGACTCGACATATACGTGTTTGAATTTTTTAAGCATTTTAGGACCTCCAAGGTGGATTTGATATGACTTTTTTCCACTGACACATCATATCTTAGTATTGTAGTTTCTGGAGTCAGGTCAACTACCAAACCCGCCACTTTCCCTCAAATGCGGTTCGATCAGATATAGGAGTTTACTTTGATCAGAGATTAGCGAGTAGTAGACTAATATGTCGACATTCGCGCGTCGATTCATTGCTCATGCGATTTCTACACCGCGTATATGTTACCGAGTGTAGTATTTCAATATTCAGAATCGGTGTCAGTGGTCTTAGCTAGCTCCGCTCCCCAAAACTTCATTTTCGCCTCAAACTCACATGTGATTTCGGAAGCACGACTAGCGGTCATGCTATTCGCAAACTCCCCCCCAATATACAGACACAACCAGTACCCGACCCCCGTTGTTATTCAGGACACGCTTAGAGTGGACCATGCTTTGGAGGCCGTTTCATATTGTGTTCACTGGTGTGGTCAGCACTCGACGCGCTTCTGCTTTTCTGAAACAGAGGGTACCTATGGAGGAGCTGAAGCCTACAATAAGGCGGCATGGAGCGACAGAAAGGGGCAAACTGAATTTTATCTGGGAGCTCCACCCCTAGTGTTTGGGTTTCCATCACACATATTAGAGATTATAAGCGAATCATCGATTACCTGCAAGCTTTTATTAGAAGCTCTACTTACGACTTACTGCTGATAAGACGGGTTAGTATTTAGATGATCACAGGATAAACCTCTGACAACGGATTATCCCTTATAAGCGATATAAGCGATATGAGCAGTCTATTTTAAAAAGGGTCGTAAAGGTGACGTTAGGCGTAATACATCTATTTTTCATGGAATGTATTAAAATCTATACCATTCAAGTAGTAATATCGCTAGGCAGCTTTCCCACTACATCGTAACCTCCAACCCGGCCGCAGAAGAAGACTTGCATGCATGCGAGAGGATTCGATGCTACAACGTTCAGGTAGCGGCGCCTCCACCCACTGAACGATTCATTCACTGCGCAATGTGGTCATACTGATGAAGAAATACTCAGGCTACTTCTCAGCGGACTCCATTTCTCCTACAGGAACTATGCCTCTGCATGAGCAAAAGGAGATTCCACGATTGAAACAACACTCCAGCAGAATTCGTGTCGAAGAATCTATTCAGTGGGTGGGATAGAGCAGTCCACGAGGATCCCATGTGTCGTTGTTGCAACTCGGAGGTGCGCGGCAATGGCGACAGGGTTTTACAAAGTCAGCGGTTTTACCAAATCAGCGTTCGACGACTCTAACAAGGGAAGGATGGTAGGTCGAAGTGGCCGTTGAAATGAAATGTATACCTCCTGATGCGTCTCCAGACGCTGATTCCAAATCTGCCTTCCAAATCTGCTAAACGACTCTCCGAACGGAGTTATGAAGCGTAATAGCTCAGTGGTGATGGTCCGGGGTGGCAGGTAAAAGCTCGTAGGATCGGTTCCTTTGCAAGTTTGTTGCTTTGCTTTTGTCCGCAACACTTCTAGAGACAAAAGCAAAGCAACCAATTTGCAAAGGAACCGATCCTACGAGCTTTTACCTGCCACCCCGGACCATCACCACTGAGCTATTACGCTTCATAACTCCGTTCGGAGAGTCGTTTAGCAGATTTGGAAGGCAGATTTGGAATCAGCGTCTGGAGACGCATCAGAGGTATACATTCATTTCAAAAAAAATTTGTCACAAGAGGAATCGAACTAGGGACCCCTTTTCTGGTATTCAGAGGGCCGTTCAGGAAAAATTGAACATGGTTCTGTGGTTCCCGCATCTGCCCCTATATCATGCAAAAGACCGTTTTCAAAAAGCTCGTCACGCCCTGAAAGACCTTCCTGGTAAGGGTTTGCCTTAGACGCTGCGGCGGAGCTGCCACTCTGTCGAAATTACGTGGCTGCGTGCGTCTTCTGCTGTGTTGCTTCTCGCGTCTTCCCCTCTCCTGGCAGCACCGTGTCTCTCAGTCATGTCACGGCCGGCCTCACAATGGAAATTTCACTATTTTTTGGGGCTTTTCTTTTCCCCACTCACGTTTCCCATCGAATTTCTAGTCCAATTTTCAAACAAAATAACATACCGAAACGATCTCGACCCATGCCTTCAAGTAACGGGCAATGTATTTGATGGGCATTTTATCCATTCTTTAAAATACCATCAATAGCTGCAAAGAAATTCTTAACTCTTTATTTCCTAGCAATAAGCACTTAAAAACATTAATATAGAATTGTCAATTGATAAAAATTGAGGCAGCGCTTCAAATGGTAAAAAACCCCGCTTCCTAGCCGATTCTATTGCTCCCAAGAACAAAAGACAAAGCTTAATGCTATTATATTATGGGAAACGAATAAATTATGGGAAATATTCGATAATCTTATTGATTTATGTATCACATCAATTACAGGGCAAGATATTCATCTTTTCCAGTAAACGTATGTGCTTATATACAAAACAACAAGCGAACAAGTAAACAGAAATAAATACACCGGCTCTACACCCACAAACTTTGTTAGTATAAACGTTCTATGTCTGGCGAGTTATTTTGTCCTTAAATCACTAGCGCGCAATCGATAGACATCATTTTCATTAATTCTTCACTCCTGCTTTATTTCCATTTCGTAACCTTTTTTCTATCAGCCAACGACGCGAACAGGCGGGCAAGCATTGCGAGATACGAGAACTCTCAGCCCAAACACAGGCCCACGTTTGATTTCATGCCTAACCAAAACCTTCAACACGTTCCTGCTTTTCCACTTATCGATCCATTCAAAATGTAGCAACGCGACTGCGCGCGCCTTCACCAGCCGTCTCACAAGCGCCGCCAGGAACGATGAGCTGAGCAATGTGTAATTTTACGACCCGATTTTTCTATTGCGGTAATGGAGGATATTATTGCTTTCTGGTGCTCCTCCAAAGCAGTTGTAATTAGAACGATGATGGAAAGACGAGTGGGATTGAAGCAAAGGCGATAAGCGGTGTAGATCGATCGAGCTCCGTGCGCAGCCAAAAAACTTTCCTTTTTTTTTTTTTTTTTTTTTTTTTTTTTTTTTTTTTTTTTTTTTTTTTTTTTTTTTTTTTTTTTTTTTTTTTTTTTTTTTTTTTTTTTTTTTTTTTTTTTTTTTTTTTTTTTTTTTTTTTTTTTTTTTTTTTTTCCCCCACCCTTTCTCGACGCATCAAACAACAGCCCAACTCTTGCCACCATTGACAGTTCAATGGATCCACACGTACCAGTTCCCTGAAACAAGCCAAAGGATCACTCCAGCAAAGTAAAGAGCAACATGCTTTCATACAACTATCTTTAGGTGTGGTTTTTCTTCCAACGGTTGAATATAGCGAGGTCAGTATTTTAAGAGGCTTCACATAGACTCTACTTACGTATTTTTTAGTTTTTAAGACTCAAGGGAGCTCCTTCTTCTCAGAGTTAATCCGCCGTCTACGAAACACGAGTATATAAATCACTATGTCGATCTAGAGAACATCTCTAGACATCACAGAGCAAGATTTAAACAGAAGTAAAAGATCATAGTTGGGGTAGAGGGCGCGCAGGCAGAAAAGTGGTCCCTAGATGTTCATCCCCTCACTCTCGTCCACAA